TATATATATATATATATATATATATATATATATATATATATATATATATATATATATATATATATATATATACATATTTGGTTTCTGAAATTCACGGAAATCTGCCATTTTCTGTTTCTAATCTTATTTTTCGAATTTGTTTAAAAGACCGTATACGCCCTAAAATTGGGGTTGCAGTCTGGAAAAGGAAGAGATTTATTTCAACATTTGTACCACATTTTTGTTTCTATTCGAAGTGTGGGAATGTTCCTGAAGATTTAAGCTTTTTTGGGATAAAATATTTTTTTATTGTCACACATAACTAAGCTTATATCCTTATGAAATGGAAGTGACTTTTTCAGGGAGTAATGGAATACCTATTAGGAGCGGACTGGACTTCGTATTTCAATATCACCATTGTTGATGCTAAAAAGCCAAAGTGGTTTGCTGAAGGTACTGTATTCCGTCAGGTTAACACCAAAACCAGTGCGCTGAAAATTGGTACTCATGTGGGTCCACTTGAACAAGGCCAAGTTTACGCCGGAGGTTTGTTTCATTCTTCCAGTAACTGGTTTTTTTGAATTCGTAGTAAAGGATCCAAAGTCTCGATCATTTGTTGATCATTTGTTGCTTCAAATAGTTCTCTAGTTATTATGTTTTGGTTTAGGTTTTATAAATGAATCTTTTTAATCAAACCTTGTGCTATATTTTAGGTTCATGTGATGCATTCAGAAGGTTGGTAAAAGCTCGCGGTAAAGATGTTTTATATATAGGCGATCATATTTTCGGTGATGTTTTAAGGTCGAAAAAGGTTTGCGAATTGTGGATTTTCGTTATCTACAGATCTTAATTGTCTCCTTCCTCCTAATATTGACAAAATGGACCTTATTGGCGGGATTTTAATTTAAAAAAAATAATTGATCTCGACTCAAAGTAGCTGTTTATTTCATATTGTCCAGAACATTTTCTGTTTTTACCAGGCTAGGGGATGGCGAACTTTCCTCGTTGTTCCCGAACTAGCTCACGAACTGACAGTGTGGACCGAACGCAAGCCGCTATTTGAAAAACTGACACTGCTGGATTCGGAACTGGCGGATGCATATAAAAATCTAGACAGTAATTCGAAGGAAAAACCATCAATTGTACACATTGTTGATGCAATAACGGTATATTTTTGCTTATTCCTTATAGATGTCAAAAAAATATTCAAGCTGGAATCATACACTTTTTCCCACTCGAAATGTGCAAAATATGCTATTTCAGTTGCTTACACACGAAATGGATAACGAGTATGGCATGTTAGGTTCTGTTTTTCGCAGTGGCTCTCGGACTACATTTTTTGCTTCACAAGTTTGTGGCCGGTTTTTTTACTTCATAAAAAAATTGAGTGCATGGAATCTGCATATGTTTCTTCGGAATTTAACGTTTACTTCTTCTTTTTTGTTAAAAACATCGTCAAAGAATCATTCATAAAAATTGACATACTTATTTCTTTTTATTTTTAAAGATTTATGACTTCGTGCAACATCATGAGCTTGAAATGACATAGTAAGTTATTTGCACATTTACCGTGGATTCAGTAACCGAATATGATATTTGCACGTTTTTGAGGTTGAACGATACGCTGATTTATATGCATCAAGTTGCTGCAATTTAGTTCATTATCCGCTTTTTATTCTTCCGCGCACCAATGACACTGATGCCTCATGAATCCACTGTTGACCACGCATCTGTCTTGACGCCAACAAATCATATCATACAGAAAGTTTCCGTCGGCAGTGAAGGTAGTTTCTAATCATCATTGATTCATTTTTATTATTGCTTATGGAACGAAATTTTGAGAATATGGTTGAGTTATTCTTTCCAGAATTTATTTGTGCTCTTCTGTTACTCAATCACTGCTTTTTTACCAGTCATTTGAAAATTGCTGTTAGCACAATAGTAAATAGTTACAAGTTATCTCATTGCTAACCTTGTTGGATGAAAGAGTATTCCGTACTTTCTGCAGTTCGTGTTCTTAAAATGGATGAAACACCATTTTGCCACGAAGAAGAAGAAGAGGAAGCTTCGAATAGTGATGTGGAATTAGATGTTGGGAAAACGGATAGTTTGAGCGAAGAATTAACAGGTCAGCAGTTGAATAGTTTGGATGTTATTGGTATTCCACCTGGACATGTGGACGATATATCAGAACAGAAATAGATTTGTTTCTAATGCATTTTTTATTTTAGCAAAGTCAATCTTTCTTTTCTATCAGATTTTTGTGATATTATTATCATTACTTTTAACACAGTAACATGACAACTGAAAAAAATGCTTCCAATGTTTGATAGGGATAAGGGAGAGACGAGTAATACTCTAACCAATCAGGAGGTTAAAAAACCCCAGTAGATAATTCTTCAACATGTTTTTAGGTAAATTTTAGTTTTCTAGTCTTGTTTGCCTCGTGTTTTTTTTCTCTTTTAATAAACTACTGTAAGAGTTTCTTCTGTGTGAAATGAACGAAATTTTTTGTTTCTTCTTTTTCTTAAGAATTTTCAAGGTAGTTTTTTTGGTCTGCAACGATCTTTGAAAATCCGTTCGTGGTAACAATTCTTCTCATTTCGCCTGCTTTTGATGCAGTTTTTGTTGATTTCCTTGTATTTATCGCTTGCAATTATTTCTTGTATAGTTCCCTTTGATTTGATTTAAAACACTGTTGTCCAGCAAAAAGAAAAAAGAAATCGCATACTGCTTAACATTGATGTAAGTTTTAAACAAAAGATGAAGAAATGGATGATAAATTAGATTAAAAGCTGGTAGGAGTAATGTTATATTTTGTACTGGGAGCTTTCGTGGATCTCGAATATACTAAAACATTCAAAAAAATAAGGATAAAAAAAGTGTATTACAAGGAATGAAATGTGTTAGAGGCTACGCCTTTAAAGGCTTCCAAATTTTCAATTTTTAATATTCGGCTGGCTTCCGGAAACATTGTATGATGCTTTCTTTTACGCAGCTGTCGATCGTGTTATATGGAAGCACTGTTCTACATTCCGTCATTTTCATTTGGGAACCTACTCAGTTTCTGTTGTTTAAACTGTGTTTTATTATTATATTGTATGCAATTTTCGGTTTTCGATGTTTCATTTTATCGATATTCTTTAGGTTCCTATTTTCTGTTGTTTTTTGCTTCCGATTCCCGTCTTGTAATACCTTTGTTGTGTCAATAAAAGACACAGATTTTTGTTATAATTCGTTGAGCTTCATATTCAATAGTGCGCATTACTTATTATTTTTTTGACAAAATAATTTGCAATAATTTACGATTTTTCGTTGTGATCCATATAGATAAAACAACGCGGTCAAAATGATCAAAATGATATTTATCAATTTATATATATAGTTGACGATCATTTCTTAGTGAACATTTTTCATTCTTGTAGAGCCCGATTTAGACATTCTACATTCTCAAGAATTTGCCATTTTGACAATGAATTGTTTTTTCCTTGTTATAAAAACGGAATTTGAAAAAAAAATTCGGGATAGTGTAGAGGTATAGTCTTAAAATGATCCTTCATATAAGGATGCCATACGTAATTGGATGCATTTGAACAAACGTATAAGAATGCTGGTTTCCATGGCTTTGATTTATCTTGAGTCTGATTCCTAAATTGCTAAAGCTAATTATTAGTTTTGCCTATGTTATTGAGTCGCCGTTTGTTTGTGTAAATCAGTTTCAAATAAACAGCTTTTTATTAAATTTTTCAACTTTTTAAAATTGTTCTGGAATGATGAGATTGCAACTATGGCAAACGATAGAAAAATGTGGGTTGCTATATTTGGTGTATTTTACGAAAGTTCCTTGATCCCAGTAATTATTGTGGCACTTTTTGTTTGTTATATATTGAAATATTGAGAACTGTAAACCACACACATATACACGGATGGAAACATGGTATTCATAAACGCATTGAATGGAAAAATTATTTTTGACCGAAGTTCAGTAGCTTGAAAAGAAAGGCAGTACTGTCTATGCAAAAGTCAACAAAGTAGAAATTACAAGTACACGCGAATTAAAGAGTAAATTCCATAAGTAATTTCTCTGAAACGATTGTGCACTTTTACGTTACACATGCTGATGTAGAAGAAATGGAGTTAGAGAGGTGATTCTGTTCACAATATATCATGGTAATGGATTTTCTGATTTCTAGAAAATTCAAGTAATGCTTGAAAATTCAAGTTCCGCCTAAATATATCCGTTTCTTCAAGAAAATGAAGTAATCCCCATCATAAAGTTTCGAATAACGCTTTAGAGAAATATCAGAATTCCACGAAAAACAAGAAGAATATACATAACTTGCAACAAAGTGTTTATGGCATCTGGATTCGTTCTAATTTCTCGCATTTTTAGTAGAAACAAATTCAGCCACATTTTGGGACGTCTGTTTCAGCTTTCCGAATCAACCAGTGAGGAAATTAGCAAAGTGTTCTTGCCGTTCGCAAATCCACAGCACCATTCTCGATCATTTGAATATCATCTATTGCACAAGCCCCCTGATTTGTCCTTGTATTTTCGCAGACAAATAAAATCTACGAAAATTGAGAAATTGTTTTAATCATTTTATCAATGCTATAAGATTGATCACGGCAACGAATGAATCAAAATAAACTAAAAAATTTTGTCTCCGCAGAAACTGTTCTACAATTCTATAACAATAATTTTCTTCATGAATTCTTCATTAAGGTTACAGAATACCAATGTTAACTTCACTTCATATTTATGATCATAAGCAAAGGTTTTCACAAAAATTTTGAAACCTTCACTAACAATTCTTGATAATCCTTTACAAAAAACAAAACGAAACAAAACAAACAGGAAAAGAAAATGATATTAACCTTGGAGGTACCAGCTGGGCAGATGAATGCGGTAAGTTTCCACGTTCTATCACTCACACTGACAAATTTATCAGATGCGAACAAGCAGTGTTCTAAACTTTCGCAACAACCTTTAAGCTGTACGCCATGTGTTCCTTCGTAATACTGGAATCGTAATCGAACTGGTTCTTTTAGGTTGGCAATATCCACTGCTAATCCAGCCATTTCTCTTGGATATAGAAATGTTGCTGCATAATAATCGCCTTCTGGAATTAACTTGGATTTTTTGTTACAAGTTTACTTGCCGTTGTAATATACTACGTTTTTTTTTTTTTTAAAGTATTTAAACTGGAAGAATATTCCCTTGAAATCAGTGGAAAATACTTTTGTAATTCGAAATTACTTCCAACTAAAAATAATTCTGGATATTTCTAGATGATATTTACTTTTGTACATATTTCATAATAAATAATTTAGTTCCTTGCAAATAAATTAGTAGCGATGAAACAAACCAGTTCCTTCTTTGACCCCGGTAACTTTATTCATGTATTGTCCAGTGACCACTTGGAAACTTGTTGTCACACCACGTATTGATTCCGTTTGATGTGCCTCTTTGTAATTGCACATATTTCCTCGAATAAAATGATTCAAATTGATATCATGATTCTGATTGCTTTAATTTTGATTTTGCTAAAAATACAGCACATAAGAGTATCTCAAATGAACGTACGATTTTCGAATGAGCATTTGATTGCATTGCAAATGGTTAATGAAGGAGTAGTGATCTTGGATGCCAATGCTTGACCCCTCTCTGAAGACGCTGCTACTAGAGCTATTTCAGGTGACAACGAAAGAGCAGAGCCACCAGATCCAGACTGTGTTCTCGAAGACAATACAGCTGAAGGCAGTGAACTAATTCCAGATGCAGCTAGAGATTTTGTTTCAGTTGTTGTAATTTCATTAAATGATTTCTCTTCCGCAAATGCCATTTGTGTTGTAACAGAATGTGAAATATCGATCTGAAATAAACGTTACTGTAAGCAAAGTAGATTGTTCAAAATCTACCAAATTTTCAACTTTAAATTTTCAAAAACCTGTGGATATCTTAATTATTAGTATTTCTTTTTAAATTGAAAAAGGCATAGTACTTGCTTCGAAAAACTTACTCCATTTGCAATACCAGGTTCTTTCACACCCGCTGTTGCTGCTTTTTCATCTATTTGTGCTTTTCGTTCCTCCTGTTCAATTCCACAATCATCCCCATCGCTTTCATAAAATACTTCGATGTCATCCAGAATTGCCATATCACCCCGTTCGCTGACAAAGTTACTTGCCACAAATACAATCTGGAATTTTAAATCAAGTTTCGTGTGCTAAAATTCCTTCACGAACTCCTTGAAAAACTTAACTGGAAAAAACTCACATCAGTGTATGAAGCTTTTGGGAGAACTAGTTTGGTCCAGCCAAGGCCATTTGCAGGTGGGAATTCCTGACAATTTAATAGGGGATTAAAGTTAACAGTGTTTGGAAATGATTCTCGTTGACATACTTGCAATAAAAGATTTTCTGACTGCCAATATCTGAAATCAAGGAATTCATCTGAGCTGGCATTAACAATGATTTATTTAATTTGCTAGTTCCTTAAATTGTAAGATTTTCCTAAAATGCAAACCACATAGATCAGGAAAGATCTGATATGGAGTTCCAGTATAAAGACAGAAAGTTAAAAAATCTTGAAAAAAGAAAAAGGAACTTTAACAACGTTAAAGGATTTAGAGCATTTAAAACTAAAGTACTCGACAAACGTTGTACCACTAAATAACTGATTTATCTGGTACCAAAATTGCAAGCTTTACCTTGCCCTTACGATAATAGGGGAAGATGCGCAGCCAATAGCGCATGATGCAAACTGCGCTTCGTCTGAGGGTGCTGAACTGCTGGCATAGGTAACCAAATAATTACCACCTTATAAATTATTAAAATCACTTGGTGCTTTTTTAAATTTTCGTTCCTAGACTATCTTCAGTTATGCACAATAATTACTCAATTATCTATTACAGTTTACCTATAAGAAATAATCGTCCTTTTATATTAACAGTCCTTCAATAAATTATGGAAATTTCGGTTGCCTCAACAAACCTCCGGAAGAAACGGACCTTGATAATTCACCATTGAATTGCACCAATTATGAATAGATTTTGGTCATGAATGAATAACATACTTGGAACAGGTGCATTCTGAAAATGTGTTGAATCGGGTGCACCATTAGCCAAGTGCCAATCAAGCTGGTCATCTGGTGGTGGAACATTAGCCCAGCAACAAGGACGAGAATCGAAATCACAAGACAACGCTTCGTCTAGAATTTTCACAGAATTCAAAAATTGTGTGGTGTCTCATTATTTTTTATATAGTTCTATTGCTATTATAATGTGATAATTTTAATTGCATCAAATCCTTTTTGAACCATAATAGAAATTCAGGAATTGAAGGATGGCACGTAAATATAGGCAAATAATTGAGCAACTAAAGGACTGGTAGCTCAATACTATTTCAGAAAAAAAAGTTGAACAGTAAAAGTATGCGCGAACACACAGTCAGAATTTGAAACAATTATTTTCCTCACATCCTTTACTCAAAACTTTATGCAGGGAATAGAGCAGAATAAAATAGCAAAAAAAGTAATTACCTATGTCAACTGGACCACCTCCTTCTGCGTTGTATCCATTTGAATCAAATTCACGTAATGTTATCTTTGATCCTAATAAACCTGCAAAAGCAATTTTTTGGAAAATGATGAAATTCTACAATATCTGAAATTTCCATTCCCTGAATAGCAATGACTAGCTTCTTGTGATCACTGTGATCACTCCAGAAAGTTGCCAATAATCGATTTTTTACTTCTTTTCTATCCACGAATTCATATAAGTGTCTTTTAAATTTGCTTGATAAACTCATTTTGACCTGCAATGTTCCATTTCTTAAAATGGCTTAGTAGGTGAGAATAAATCCCTGATACATATTTCAATAAGTGAAGTTTCTCCTCTTTGCTTTATTGGCATTCCTTCAAATGACCCATATTGTTTGATAGTGTTTTGTTCACAAGAGAAAAGAGGTGGAAGAAGTGGATAATAAAGAATGATAAGGAAGGAGAGAGAATGTCTCCGATATTAGCTGTACTTTTTGTCGTAGCAATTAGATACTAATTCTTCGGATGCATTTTAATATGTCAACATGCTGCCATTTATTTTTTTTATATGCATTTATCACTAATTATAGTAAACTGAATGGTTCCAACTAAAAGAGTTGTCTGAATTCACTTGTAATGGCGTAAATGAACTAAATAAGGTGTGACATTTCCATTTTGTCATTCGTTTGGAAGAGCTTAGTAGTTCTGTTAAAATGTTGCTTGCAGTCTTGCGTCCAGCAATATTGATTGCTTAATTTTCTGATTAACTAAAGTGTTTTAACTTCTCAGTTCCTTGCCTAGAAAAAAAAGTCATAAAATATGATTATCGAACCAATCAAACTAAGAGAGGAAGTAAACGACAAATAAGGAGAGTCTGTCAAGATTATAAAGAAAATTACGAGGTAAAAGGAAATATAAACTATAATTTTATTAGAATGTAGAAATTAATTTGTAAAGCTTCTAATAAGTATTACTTTTGCAGATTTGTCCTGAGAAAACCAAGGGAAACTTGAAATCCAAAGAAAGAAAGGTTACAAAAGTAATCTCATAATAAGTTTGGTCACAATATCACAAGATATAAAATTTGTTTACATCATGATTCCTTCAGAATAGTGAAAATGACATTTGCAGCAATCAAATCGAGATTTTAGAAAATGAAGAGCTATCCAATAGGCCAGAAGTAATCCATGAGAAAAATTTTCTAACCAGCTCTTTTAAACGAGAAAGCCAAATAAACACATACCAATAAACTTACTATTAAGAAGCTGTTGTTGTGGGATGGGTTCAATAGGTCCTCGACCGGCAGATGAAATTGCAGGTCTAATTACACCAACAAGAACATCGTTAGGCACTTGCTGTGGTGAAGCAACAAGTGCAATTCCCTGTGTTTGGCCAATCGCTGTACCGGTTGGAGGTGGTGGGATGGCATTAAACTGCTGTACTGACACTCCAGGTGAAAATGCTCGAGGTGACGTACTAATGCAGCTTTCTCCTGAAATTTCCGGATGGTAATAATAAACAAAAACACAAGTAATCCAAGGGATAAAATGATATGGATATGATGCAAAATCTTTGATATTATTGTTAATTTCCTCGTCGAAAATCTATAAATATTCAGAGCCAAAGTACGCACTAGGGCGCATTAAGAAATTTGATTTTGATCAATGCCCTTTTAATTTTAACAAACAGTAGTTGAAAAAATGCGACAATGACTGTCAAGGTTGAAATCTTTATTTTTCTTACACACTTTCTCGCCCTTGTCAGTATTAGTACCATAAACTGCTTTGAAGAGATATGCCTCACTTATATGCAAGGAAAATGTGTTAGTTGGCCTACTTTACAAATATTTTGCAGATTAAATATTTATATATTCTACCGCAGAAGATATTTTGCAAAACAATTTTCTTTAACCAATTGCATAATGAAATCTTTTGGTTTAACAGGATTCGTGGAAAATTTGGAAAGATTTGAGTGGTTGGCAGTGATAAAGGATTACATTCGTGAAATCGAAATTGGGTCAGAGGTGAACAAGGGATTCAGCAGAATTTGATCTTAATTTCCACGATCCGTTAATGAACCATTGAAGAACACGCAAACCACAGAACATATTCCGCTCGTATATTGCAAAAAAAAAAAAAACCAGTAATTTCTGAGATTCTGAGAAATTAAACAGATTACATCTTCAGTGGTAGTAGAAACTGTTATTTATCAATATCCTTTTCTGGATGCGATTCGCATTACATCATAGATTGCCGATTCTGATTATTGTACGAGATCCTATAGCCTTTGAGTTACCCCACATAAAATTCACTTCAGAATGTTGAAATTGAAATTTAAACGTACTTTGAAAGAGGAATTTTCTTAACTGCTAATATACTTCGCTGTTGAAGAAAAGGAAATGTTACGATCTTTGATTTCCTAAATTTGCTGACAAGTGGTATGATATGAAAATTGGGTTAAATTTCAGTTTCATTAATCCCGTCAACTGCACTGCCTCATTTTTATGTTATTCGTGCCTTTGCTCTCAAATTAAACATCTACAAAAGTGTCATCACTCTGAAACAATTTATGTAGCTTGTTATTAAAAGCAGAAACAAAAACAGCATTAAAATAAAATTCGCACGGTACATCTATGACAGATATGTTTGGATGTTGTCGAAAGTGTCTGGCGGTATGTTTGTGGTGATAGAATAAAGTATGCGTTATTTCTGGTGCTGAAACTATCTTCCGACTCTAAAATGTGTCCATAATGCTGCAAGCAAACTGCCAGTATAAAAATTTTGCATTCAATGTTTTCAAATTATGCAAAAACATGAGGTAATTATTTTCAATATTAGGGAAGCGAATTTGTCAAATACAATAAATGGTTTCAAAATTAGCTCATAGTTCAGTATGTTGTGATTTCAAGACAGAAAAATTTTCCTTTTTTTACTGAAGCATAGAAGTTCCAAAAAAAGGAATCCATGTAGGACAAATTATCTACATTTTTAAAAATGTCCATTTCCTTAGAATATTTTCTTTCGAATATTCTTTTCCTTCAGTTTTAATATGCACTTGTGTGAATCATAATATTCAGAATTTCTGATTACATTCAAATTGAAGAATATGTAATTAAGTGATCCGAATGCAGTCTAATGTTCCGAAACCAATTCATAATGAATGCAGTTAACGTCTCAATTGAACGAAATACCGCGGTTTGAATGAGAGAATCACGACGACCTTCCCGTTGTTTATAACCATATCACCAATAACCATTTTGATGTTCTCATTGAATTTCTCAAATATTTCCGACTAAAGTTCTCGCAGAATTTTTCAATTCAGATCCAAATTTTATTTTTCGAGTTCTATTAAATATACTTTTGAAATGCTACCCATATCCTTGGCCGAAAAAACAGTAAATGACTAAGGAAGATTGAGAATTACATTGACTTGAGCCTTCTGGATTGAAGAGTACACAATGTAACATATTTCCAAGTAAATTGTTGTAACTGTCAATAAGGGATAATACGAGAAAATTTTTCAAGAGGTAAAGTAAGATGAAAAGATTTTTGAAAATTCGGAAAGTGAAACCATTAATCTAAAAGTCTCAAAGCCATTCTCACTTTTAAACAAAGTTAAATTTATTGGAACAGTTTACTATCTCGTTCATTTTATGGGCAAAAATCATTTTGAAAAATGGAAGTTGGAATATTTTCAATAAAACTATAGGAACTATGCCAAATTCTCCAAAAAAATTTCAGGCAAATCCAATGATTAAATGTTAGCTTAACCGTAATGTACCTTAAAATTTCAATATTGTCATATAGAAATTAGTCTCGGAAAAGATGAATTTAAATTTAAAACCTGCAAAAGATAAAATTTGGGAATTTTCTGTATAATCATACTACTACATTGTAAAATAATGTAAAATAATGACACCAAAAAATGAATATAATAAGTTAATCAATAAAACAAATGAAATATGTCTGCTAAAAAGTCTTTCATCATTTGGTAACCAGATTTCGTGAATATTTCTTTAATAAATTTTGAAATGGATGCAAAATTATAGGCAATCCGTGAAGTTCTTGATATGTAATGCTACTTTAAGCAGGTTTAGAAATCTAAACCAGCTGTTTCAATCTATCTGATACTGCCTACGTGAAAGTGAAATGTTTAGTCGATATGCTCTGTTGTTAAAATTAGTGGAACTCCTCAACTGCTTCACTTCTAAATTTCAAAACTTGAATGTCTTTTCTTCTCAAAATGCATAACAAATTAAATTAAAAATTGCACCTTTATTTCCTGAAAGTGCTCCACAAATATGTATAAGCAAAATTCAATTCAATTTTACAGATTTTCAAATTTACTGTATGAGAGTATCTAACTTCTGACATAAAAATGTGACCTCACCGAGCTCATGTGACCTATCTTGTAGTATAGTTTCCAACTTTCAGGAAGATAATCTGGAACTCTGTGAAAAAAAAATTAGTGATGGAGAAATAATGAAATATACTGATGAAATGGCAACATATGAAGAGATTTTCAAATTTAAAATAATTTCTCGTGTAAGGGTTTGGAAATTTAGAGGAGGCTGCTGATGAAGATGCAAATAGAGATGGAATAGCAGTATGTTAATTAGTCACTTGATGGCTTTTCTCTAGGAAGAATGAAAAGCATACCTAATCGGAATAAAGTTGTTGTCAGTGATGCAAAAATGAACATAACGATAGGTAACATTCGGACCTGCTCCAGAAACAACCAGTAGATTTCGGAATAGTGATAACGATGACAACCAGCACTGACTACAGGTACCAGCAACCTACAGGATTGAAATTGTGGATTACGGTGGATATGAGATGCTTTGCTATGCTACGCTGTCTAGACGTTTCAAAGATGAAAATTATTGAAAAAAGAGTGCGAAAAAAAGATTGCTGCTGGATGTATGATTGATAATGAGTGGGATGACGAAAACCTCCTCCCTTTAGTCCGATATCCGATGGTTCCAGCAAATTATTAACAAATGTAGCAAACTTGGACAACGATCCAATAAATGTCCTCCTGAGACAGTTCCACAGGAGAAACAAAAGTGGTGATTACACTGATTGGCGGAGCAACTGAGGATGGAACTGATGAGTGCAGTGAGAATGGCTGGATGGATCCGATGAATTTGGATTCAGATGTTTCTACAGACACACATGCTGGAAAGATAAATCTTAGACGGATGGACAAACAGGTATATGATGACACGAACACAGACACATACACACAGACACGCACGCACATACAGATACATACAAACACAAAGAGAATGAAGAGTCGTACTTCTTCCAAGAAACAATGAAAATGTTGGTTGTCACTGAATGGATCTCTTCCCTATGACCTCTTTCTCCTTCAACTACTGCCTTGTGACCTAGTTCAACGGATAATTTTGTTCCTTTTGAAAGAATATTTGCCTATAGCATGTATATGTGCCCGTCCTTATGATGCTCAAATAAGGGTATCCCCCTATTGCCATCTAAGTACACCATTCCCCAAGGAACTAACCGAGAACCTGAAACCCCATTGTTGATACCCTCATTCAGATTACATGCTTTTTTTGTCCTCGTTTCTCCCCTCTCATCTTGAATTTTTCAAATCAAATATATGACCCTTTCTTTATACAACAATGCCTGCCGTATGCAGAGCAAATAATTAAATTATTGCATCATCAGTCCGAGTCTACTGAAGACGTAATTCTTGCGAATAGGAAAGGGAAAAGAATCAGTTTACCTGAATCATTAAAAATAATTGCAGAAATAACTATCCTCATGTTCAGAATAGTGTTGATCACATCACGAAGAGGTGCTGGTGGACAGTTCTTCCAGTTTAAATTATTACTTCCCACATATTTTGTTAACAAACAGATACTTTAAAAACTGCTCAACATTTTAAATTGTGGCAACTGCTAGCAATTAGACTTTTGATAGGTAAGACTAAATCAGCAGTACTGTAGCTATAATTTCTGGGGTTCTCTTGTGTTCAATTTCGTAAGGACTGGTATTCTTGTTCGTAATGGCTAATTAATTTGGCTATCTGCATTTTTGCAGAACAAAGAAGAACTATAATTATTTTTCAAATTTCCTGTTTAGTTTACAAGTCATTGCAGAAGTTTTCAACGTAGCATACATAAACAATCATTCGAGCGACAATTTGGCTGGTTATTCTAATGATGCTCATAGATCAAAATTTACCAATCATGCAGACAACAATCTAAGCAACTAAAAATATCTGTTAAACCTTAAGGATGCAAATCAGTTTTATAAAGTATCCTAGTTTCACAGCTACTTCAATTTCTAAACTTTGTCGTCAGTACTGCATAATATTTCTTGCAATTTTGAACAATACAAACATTGTCCAAGTATGCAAACATTGATGCTCATATCTTTTTAAAAAATGTTTGAAATAAGCAAGAAAAGAATGTGTGGGATATCGACCACTTCCCAGTTAATTTCCTTAATTATTTTATCACTGATTACCAAATTCTTGCAATCTTTCCCGCAATACAATACTTTCATGTGAACCATTAATTCAATTTTTTACATGTGTCAAGTGAAGCCTTCACTGAAAAGATTAAGATGGTTTTTTTTTTTTGAATTTAGCTTGCTGTTTGAAATCCAACAATCATGGGTCATTCAAGAACTGGAAAATAACTTTCTATGTTAAAAGCCAAAAAAAAAAGAAATGGCAACCAGTAATGAATTTATTGGATTTAGTCGCATTTTTCTTATTCAAATATCAAATAATTAAAAAAATTTGACGGAAGTATAATTTCCATACGCTGTGCAAAAATTACTTTCACATCATTAAATAACAACAGCGATTAACTGGGAAAAAAATATACAGATTTTAAGACGCCATATGGAAGTGCAGGAATAAAAACAGGGAAATAGTACAAAACTAGTTAGAAAACAGTTTTTTCAGGTAAAATTTCGATTAAGAAATACCAAGCAAAATCAACAAAGTGTGAAATTTCCCTTCTTTCATTTCTTTTTCTGCCCTTCTTAACCGAATTGATTGTCAAGAATTAGGAGCCAGCAAATTGTTCAATTATAAAATATATGATTAGATATTTTTGGATGTGTTCAGAAACTTTTTCAAATGCATAATCTCGGGTACTTTAGAAATGGAACTTTTACTACTAGTAGTTTTGAACAGTATTTTCTGTGAGCATGTTTTCAATAATTATCACTCATTACTGAATTAACTGACCAATCTAATTAACTGAAAGAACTGTTTGAAATCAAAAGAATTCCCAAAAATAACATCCACCTCTTTACTTTTTTTTACAATAAATATTATATTCTAAACGAACTACGTGATTTCTTAGGGTCGACTTTATAAATTGCTTTTTATTATGTAAAAATGCTTAAAGTTCAGCTATTGTCACCGCTAGATTTAAAAGGCATACTGCAAATAACTAACCATAAGATTTGCAAATTTTTATTGAAAGTAATATAATCCATCAAATATTTTATTTTGAAAAGGCAATTGTCAGGTAATTAATGCAAGGAAAGATAAGCTTCAAATGTTAAGAACCGTCAAATAAACCATTATTTGTTAATTAAATTAAAACTCTGCCCATGTGAACAAACTGATTACTGTTTATCAAGATAGTATATCTGACAGAAAAACTGATTTTATCAGTAGATATATCGACCAATGTTTCTGACAATGATGAAGTTTGTTTAAAAATTGCTATAAGTCGTTTATTATGTTGCTCAATATCGCTGAGCTAACAAAATTAAAATACTCCATGAAATAAAAAATGCTGCACCATCATTTTTAGCGCTTAACATTAACCACGAATAGATCCTTCTGTTGAAATTTTTCGTAAAGCAGTAATATCAACCGTCGTCCTGACATTTCTGAGATTTTGGAAATTGTGTAATACTGCTAGGAAGAAAGCAGTATCATCAATTTTTTCTAATGTCTAAAATTAAAGAGTCATAGATAAAAGCTGGGGTGGACATGACAGGGAAGTGGACGTCGAAGAGGGGCTTAGGAGACAGAGGCGTTCTCATCTTATGATTCGATTTTTTCTTATTGTCTTATTCTTTAGCACCAAAGTTCTGGATCAGTTTTGATGCTCGTTTGATTTTGAAGTTGGTTGTTTGGCTTCTCTTCTTAAAGATGCCTAACCAAATATCATTCATATTAAACTTCCGAATTTACAAATACGAACCTCATCATGCATTAGGAAATTGAAATTAGGGGAAAAGAGGCTGGAAATGCGTATCCAGAATTTTTACCCCTGAACATGTTTGATCAGATGACATTTTCAACTGATAATTTTTATCATTTTCAATTGTATACTTCAGGATCGTCAGCTGCTTCCCTTGATAAAAAAACTGATCGATATTGTTTAAAAATATAACTATTTGTGCTGCACTGATATGAATGTAGGCGTATTTATATGAAAACATTGACCACTGGTATAGCTCAAGGGACAGTAAGTCATAGCTAATCATGCAACAAGCTTCTTATTATTGATTGATAACTAAATTCCAATGATCAAAATGTTAAGTAAAACTTTGAGCAAGTGTTGTTTTCATCGACTTTATAATAACTGACAGAAGTCGAGAGTCTATTCAGCTCGTAGGCTAAACGACAGTCTATTCAGCTCGTAGGCTAAACGGAATATAGCAACACGGATATACCATGTGTAAATCCATCAGTACTACGATTCACGCCATACGAATGGTTGGACGGTCTTAATGACATCTTAATGGCTCAGTAATTATTGGTTAAAGGGAGTTATACAAATAATATGCTCGTTTATCGTGAACATGGAGCAAAAACTTCTCCATGATTAATTAGTAAGTGAATATTATCAAGTCCAATCACGTAATTCTTCTTTAATTTGTCTGCCACAAAATAAATCTGAAACATATTGAAACATTGTTATGTAAGGTTTTTATTTCTGTCAAATTTAAGCTTTTTATGACATTTCAAGAAAAAAAGAAGAAAACATATATAAAAGCATAAACACAGTTTCACCGTGTGGAATCCTCGCGAAATGTTGATATGGAAATTTGTCCATTTTCTCGTTTTCACGCTCAGCGTTTGTCCAGTCCTTTCAAATGGACATTTCTGAAGAGAATCCAAACAGACTCGTAAGCGGCCATATTTGCCTGCCATGTGTACATAGAAACTAACTCGCGATTCTTCAGGTATATTTATTGTTTTTGACGTTCGCATAAGAAATATTGTTGCTGGGTTATTCGTTTCACCAGCATATGCAAACCAGCCATCTTAAATTAGAACCAATCCGAGATGATCAAATTTATTTAGCCACTATTTGAAAGCAGCGTGTCAGGAAAGCTAGTTAGTTTTTTACATTCATTTTTTTGGTCTTATACCGTTGAGGAATTTATAAACGTCGGATATAATAAAAATTATGGAAATCAAAAAATTATACCAACAGTGATATCGTGCATTATACCGGTGAGGGAATTTGCAACTTTGTGATTTGAAAGCTTCCATTTCTTCAAAGTGCTCTTCGAAGATAGATCTATTATGAAATTTGTTTAAGGAAAGCTGTTATTTATGATGAAAGTAAATGTAAAATACATCCATTAAAAACCCGTGGATTATCTCGGGATCAAAAATGTTTAATACAGTGCGATGTTTCGAAAAACTCAAAAAAATTCTGACAAAAAAAGAACTCGATAATTTACCTAACAAAAGATCTTCATCATTTTGGAGCTGGTCATCAGATACATAATTACACATGTTAACGGCGTCAAATGAACAGTCCGTGAAAGAACAGGGTGAAATGAGATGAGTGTCGATACGTTCCAGGGACAATTTTGATATTGATTTTCGTGATGTTTGTGAAGTATGTAATGGGAACAATCTGTACTTTTTGAAATTATTATCAATATGTTGGTGCAAATAGCAGGAAGAAATGGAAATAAAATACAGCACCTTTTTGGAGCATGAATTAACTGACCTCTTTCGATGTCCACTCGTGAGGAAGGAAATGAGGCTTTTGTTCACTGAATCAACTCCATTAGTGTCAAAGAAATTATCTGGAAAATCTTTTCTTTTTTTGATTTGCCAGTTTAAAGAAGAAAAGTTCTTCATTTTTTATGCGTATTACAGATACATCCTGAAATAAGGCAGAGCAAGAGAAAAAGAGGGATTTATTTACGTTTCGCTTCAGATTCACCAAATAAATTGCGGGCTGTTGCGACTGCACGCTGAGCAACAGTTATCCTCCCGAAGTCTGCAAGCAGGGAATAACTTATTCTAACTAAGCTCGTGAGCTACAAAAAATTTTTCCAGGAGTTGTAAGTGCGCGTAAAAAGAATAAAATAGATGATATAATTTTAATTTTACACATGAATTCAATTTTACATTTTTTAATTTTACATTTACATTTTTTTACATTTGCATTTACATCTTACATTTTTTTAATTTCACATTTGATTTTAATTTTTAATTTTACAGTTTTTCAATTATACACACGAAGAAACAAGGCGAAAAATCTCAGTTAAAAATCCACATGAACTGGATTCAATTTATTTTCAGTCTTTTAGTGAAATCTGCCGCATATCCTTTCAGAAGTCCAGAAAATTTAATAGAACGAAAATTTAATAGAACTCTAAATTCTTCCCACACGAAATTTCTTTCGCTAGATTTTAAGTCATACCTTTTAAATCGCCGAAAAAAGTAGATTGGCCATTGGCGCCTTCATTTAATCGAGAATTGGTATTCTCTGTAAAGTGAAAATTGCTAAAATTAAATCAAAGATTTCTCTTTTATTACAAGAGTAAATATGAATAGCATAATTTACGATTTGACGAGACTTTCTTAACCATCTATTATTTTTATAGTTAAAAACAATCGGAAAAGAGAATAGTCGTAAGAAAGTGAAAAATCCTAATCAAAATACCTACGAAATAACAAAAAGATCATAAAAAATATCATTGAAAACCGAAATACATAAAAAATTCATAAAAACTGCTAAGCAATCTATCACTTATCCCCATGCAGCTTCACTTTCATTACTTGATGATTTGTTCCCAATGATTTTCAATATCTCAACTTTTGTAGAACTGATACAAGCTGTACTCCTTGAATCAGTAAAATCGCTGTCGCAATCCATAATATGAATTTATACTTTTGTACTTTGTTCATACCTAAAGTTTCGTCTTTGCTCCAAAATTACAGTCTTTTTCCCCATATATTCCACATATTTTCTCGAATATATATTCTTCTCTGTTTAACTTTTTCACTTCACTATCTTCTTTTGCTGGAAAATTTATTCGCAACATCCTTCAAATTTCTCCACATCGGATTCATAGACATAATAAATCCTTGAGGAGGTAATTTAACGCAATTTGCATTTTCATTGATGTTTGACTATTGCGAGTCCCAGAATTTTTAAATATCCACCAGTATTGAGAAAATCAATAATTCGATTTTCATCTAGATTTAATTTGTTAAGTAGACTACCATTATCGGTGGCATCCCTACACTTTCGCCTTTAAGAAGTTCTCAGTTATCTCAGATCCATGAAATATTGTAGGTGCATTTGCAAACAGTCTTTTCATACCTACATTTCCAGTAATCGTTTTGTCTACCACTTCATGCTTGGATAACTTTTCGGGTGAAATCCTACGAAACATTGTAGCAACTTTTTTTGCCAGCATCATCATCAACATGATAGGTCGTTTAACATTAGAATCTGAATTCCCGAGAATTTTCTAGACATGATAACCAAAATGGTTGATAAATAGTTACTGTGTCCTGCGAGTATCATATGATGACAAGTTAGCTTGTTCCGTAAGCATCGCTGAATGTGATGTATAGTGAAAACATTGAGCTCCTTCAAGCCACGCAGCGATTACGGGATTTTTCTGTCTACGATGTCCATTTTTTATGCTTTTATTTACTCCACGCTCTTCAAATCACTGGCATCGATAGTACTACTCACTCACACGTAGTAGCAATATCCTCAACAATAACGTAGATATCATTATTTTTCGACTTCTTTATTGTATTCGCATGGCAATATAATTTTAATCGAATTTTTCAGGAAAATTTATGTGAGAGATTTTTTTTTCTGTTTGAAAATTTTGCTTAAAAGGCAAGATTTACCACAAAGTGCCGCATCGTAGAAGATATCGTCGATTGCAATGACGTCGAACGGCTGAATATAATTTGAGCGTATCAAAAGCTGAAATATTTTGTTTCCAGTAAAGCAGTCAGCACTTGAAAACTGAAAATTTAGCAGTGGATTTATCAGTCTCAAGGAGCGAAACAGATTTAGTAAGGTCGTATTATCCTTAGGTACTAGACTAAAAGTATTACTTCAAATGGTTGCGTAAGCGGCGGGAATTCAACGGCATTGAATAACCATTGATGAGCACGATTTTTGGGGAAAACAGGAAAACATCGTAGATCCGCAACGTTCAAGCTTCCTGGCGGTTGACGTACACACACTTCTAGCGTTGCTGAGTCACCTGTGCGATAATACCAAAAAGTTAAGGTGCCACCGCCTAGCTGACAACTGCAACAGTTAGGAAAATAAGATGAACAAAGTTATTAGCTTAGTTTGAGTTAGCCTTAGCTTTTAACCTTAAACAAAATTTTCTTTCTTTTCTTTCGTAAACTGACAAACCTTATAATGTTGCTTATTAAAGTGGCTTTTTGTATTCCATCGAAAGGTCCATGTGTGTATGCAAATAGCTCATCTGCAATGAAAAATCCTCACCCACTCTAAATTATCCTATTAGAGCAGTTATTAATGCAAATAACATCTTTTTCCAAGCAGTGACTGTTCTTATTGTCCCGAGAAAATGATTTATGGGGTGCAGATAGGTAAACTACAGTTGTGAGATGCTTCATCATCATCACTCCAAAACCGTTAAAGATGACAAATTAAACTGAATTCGTAGTTTCGGATTCTTAAAATATCTTAGGGCAAAGGAAATAAATGAAAAAAAAAAGGAATTTCTTAGGGCAAAGGAAAAAACTGCCAGGTAAAAAAGATGAGAACAGGGGAACGTTATCTTTTTGGTATCACAGAATAGTTGGCGAGTCTCTTTCTGTTCAAATCACAATAAAGTAAGTGTCAATGAGATTAAGCAAAATAACACACTTGAATTATTTTTCGAAGAAATAATATTGAAACGGTTTCCCAGCCGGACATTGCTTGCTATCAGAAAATCACCATTATCTTCTCCAGCAGTGTAATTACGCCATTGACATGCCAATTGGAAGTCACAGTTCAGATCTGCTGACATGTTTATTTGACATATCACTAAAAGTGACTTACATATTTGAGGACCTAATTGATAGTTCAGGTAAAGGTTTCTTACCGATGACCTTGAATAATTAATTATATCGTTTTAGTTATAGTTTATTACTATATATCTTTTTAGTTTATATTTATCATTATATCTTTTTATTATTATATCTTTTTAGTTTATATTTATCATTATATCTTTTTATTATTATATCTTTTTAGTTTATATTTATCATTATATCTTTTTATTATTATATCTTTTTAGTTTATTATATCTCTTTATATGCTTCTAGCAAATTTAAGTGAAAATGAAAGAGATTTTTGCATATATTGGTTCAGAGATTTTTTTTTTCAAAGGGAAAGAGAATACATATACATATATATGCAAATACATACATGTATATATTACAGATAATTTAATAATGAACAGTAGCCAACCTTTCGACAGCATACTTGCAAAAAAAGTCAGGATAAGTCTCATTTTTCTGCTTATTGGCATTATGAAAGTATTTCCATTCAATTGAATTTAGTTGAAATGCTTGTCTGAGAAAAATTTGCTAATTCCTGCTAGTGTCACATTATCGATGTCATCCGGTTATGAAAGCAGTGTAATGCCAATGATATTGCAACAGGGGAAGAACCGAAACCAAATTACTAAAAAAGA